CCAGCAGGGGGCGACTCCTCTGCTCCCATAGACGTCTATGAAGAAATGTCTCTACTTCTCTGTAGTGTCCAGCAGGGGGCGACTCCTCTGCTCTCATAGACGTCTATAAAGAAATGACTCTACTTCTCTGTAGTGACCAGCAGAGAGCGACTCCTCTGCTCCCATAGACGTCAATGAGGAAATGACTACTTCTCTGTAGTGACCAGCAGGGGGCGACTCCTCTGCTCCCATTGACGTCTATGAGGAAATGACTCTACTTCTCTGTAGTGACCAGCAGGGGGCGACTCCTCTGCTCCCCATAGACGTCTATGAGGAAATGACTACTTCTGTGTAGTGACCAGCAGGGGGCGACTCCTCTGCTCCCATAGACGTCTATGAGGAAATGACTCTACTTCTCTGTAGTGACCAGCAGGGGGCGACTCCTCTGCTCCCATAGACGTCTATGAGGAAATGACTCTACTTCTCTCTGGATTTATTCCCTCAGTAAACATTTAAGTAGTAGTGTTAGTAGTAGTAGTGTCAGTAGCAGTAGTAGTCGTCAGTATTAGTAGTAGTAGAGTCAGTAGTAGTAGTAGTCGTCAGTAGTAGTGACAGTAGTAGTAGTACTGGTAGTCAGTAGTAGTGACACTTAATAATATAAATATCTGCTCTCCTGGTCAGAACCCTGGAAGTGGATCCTTGTCTCCTGCGGATTGTCTCTGCTCCTCGTTCCTCTGCTCGTGTGTCTGGTCCGTCACAGGTTGGTGTCTCTGGAACCCCACCCTCCACCTTCACCTCCGCACACGTCACATTGTGTTGTCTTTGTGTTTTTCTGCGAGGTGTCGGAGGCGTCTGCCGTCCTCCAGACAGAAGCTGCAGGGGGCGGAGCTACCCGCCACTAAGCCGGACGCGAGCGAGGTGCAGTGGGACCTGTCCTGGATGGAGATGTCCGACCTGCTGGATGAACACTCTCTCTCTGGAACCCAAAGGTCTCAAAGTTGACGTCCTGTCCTCTCCGATGAATCACATCTTGGATTGTTCCAAATGAAGAAACAAAATAAACTTGAATCAGCTTGTAAAGTCATCGTCACAAAGCTTTTTATTCATACAGGATAGAAACATATGAGGACATTTTAGAATATGATGCTATTATTACATTAAACAGATGTAACAAGAAAACACAGACAAGCAATACTTTTAATTATTGTTACTTCAATGATGTCATCGGTGCCACCGGGTCAGATTCTGGTGAAACCAGTTGACGTCATGCAGGTTCACCAGAACCTCCTTCAGCTCAGACTCCTGAAGAGACCAGTCCAGCGTGGACAGACCCAGATCCTCCTGCAGAGACCAGTCCAGCGTGGACAGACCCAGATCCTCCTGCCCAGAAACCCCGCCCCTCTACCTGAGAATGCAGTTGGATTGGCTGTTGTCAGTGTCAGGACTGACCAATTGAACACGAACAAAACAAAGACATATTGAACTGCTGCTTGACTGTTAAATAAAGTGCTGAATCATGTACATGTCACACAAACTGTACTCCGTTTCCTAAACGACAACCTCCAAACTGTGAAAATCTATCTATCTATCACCATGCAGACAAAAGAAGCATCACTAGAGACGCCCAGTTAGTCTCCTCATATAACAAACATAACTCTTTAAGAGACGTGAGCTTAACTCGCACTTGTTTTTGGCTCATTGCTGCTCATAAATGCAACTATTGCTTGTTCTCCCTTCCTCAAACACCGGGTCCGAAATGGACTTCAACACAAAGAGCACAAAGGTTATGAAAGCATGACAGGATCTGCAGATGCTTCTGATTCCATGTGATC